ATATCTGATCACAAAATAAATTACTAGGATCATCCTTAGAGTTTGAATCCACATGCCCTAGTCAAGAGAATAAGCAGACTATAAGACATTTGAGGTAGAAGGGCTGTTCACTGCTCCTGCCGAAGCCAGGCCACAGGGTAATAAGGAACATGAGGCCAAAAGGAGAGCACCAAACTCTGACAGAGAAATCCTGTGGCTGCACTCCATGTCACTGAGATTTTTTGTGTACATATGACTAGACAGCAAATAGATAAAAGACTGAAGCAATTCTAGAGCAAAGATCAGGAGCCCCCCTGCAACTGAGGGCTGTAACTTCTGTACATGGCAACCAGTACTCCCAAGTCTACTCAGAGAGAGAAATAAAACATAACCTCTCACCGAAGTTTCTGATAAAAAGAGGACTTCAGGGGAGGGGGGGGAGGGAGGGGGGAAGCTCTTACCTTTCCCATAAAGCCCCCTTAAAACCTGACAGGGAAGCTAAGACATAATTGCAAGCCAAGACATGCTATATTCTCTAACTCCCACTGCTTGGTCTCTTGAGCTGAATTTCTACTTTGAGAAGTGGCTGGGGAAAAACAAACCAACCTCATTTTCAGTGTTTATTCATTTGTGGTCTATGAACTATTAGTTAATTTCATTGGTATTGCCCAATTAAAATCAACAGGATTACATGAATGTCACTGAAGACACAATTTGAAAAGAAGGAGGCTGGGCAGCTCTTTCACAACTGGCATGACCACAGATACACTACCTGACAGTTTAAGTAAGAATCCACTTTACTGAGGTTGGGGACGTATGCTCATTAAACAGAGCTAGTTTGCATTAAAAAATATCAGTTGAAGTCTAGAAGAGTTAGACAATGGGCTGAAGGCTGGGCTCACGTAGGACGCTCTTTCTAGTCATACTTTCCTTATAGTATTTTTCACTCCTGAGAGGAACTGCACTTTATACACTGGCCTGCCTTCCCTCAGGTGTCCTGTAGGTCACACTGCTCTAATACTTCCTAAAGTTAATGTCCTTTCCTCACTCCTGGACAGAGTTTTCTCAAGAAAGAAATTATGCCAGGTTCGGCGCAGAGCTTTCGGTAAAGAACTAAACAAAAAGCTGACAGTGGTGTCTGGGTTACACTTTCAGAAGGGTACATGTCATTCTTTTTGGTGTCATTACAAAATAACATCAATCTTACTGGAATTTTTGCTGGCTTACCCCATTGGAAGTGAAAGTGAACTAGTGTAAGGAGACAAGTACATTTTGTTGGTGAAGGGAAAG